ACATGTGAATAACTACAACATGGCTTAAAGCTCACAAGAGTACATTTTGCACAGTATATATATATATATATATATATATATATATATATATATATATATATATATATATATATATATATATATATATATATATATATATATATATTATACTTTCAGGCTTTTTGTATTATTTGTACTGTAAACAACTGGTATGGTGAACATTAAGTAATCACTCATTGTGTGACAAAATCAGAAATGAGTAAGATTTCTTTTCTTTTTTTTAACAAATCTTACTCAACAGGGACTCAAAACTGTTTCTCTCACTGGTGGAAAACAATTTGTTATCACAGCTGTGCCATTCTTTCCAATGGCCTTCTCAGTCTGACCAGCACTAATCTCACACACACAGAACTAAGACTCAATGATCATGCAACAGTCTAATGAGCTTTCTTTCAAAAAATCTTTCAAAACCTGCATTGATAAATTTAGATTCAGGTTGTGAGTTAAATTTCTCCCTTTAATTTATTTACTTTCATATCATTATGTGTTGTATTGTGTTGTATTGTATAGTATGCACATGCACTCACTTGTCTAGAGTCTCGTCCAGTGGCTGATAGGACGATTCGTAACATTTGATCCTCTTCATGAAATCCTCTATGGCCTCCTCTGAGTTTGTGTGGATGTAGTCAGGGCTGTCCAACTTCACTTGCTACAAACACGAAGAAAAATGCAGAGTCTTTTAAGTTTAACTTATACATTTGTTTGTTTTACCAAGTCGTGATAATTCTTACCACTATGTTTTCTGCAATGACATCTGGGTCTTCACACACAGACTCCACAAAAAATACCTGAGTGGCACAATAGTAGTATTTTTTTAGATTAAGTAAAAAGAAAAAAAAAAACATAATTGAAAGGTTAAATGTGTAACTTTTCAAGTGAAGGGTATGCCACCAGCTCATCTCCATGGAGAGATGTTATTGCTTTACCTAGAATGTCCCACAGTATGGCATTGGCATGAAAGATAAATACGTTTAATACCAGAGTGTGGAATATTCGAGACAAAGCAATAGTCTCTCCATGGCAGAAAAGTCACATAGTGTACCTTTAAATTGAATTTCATTGTGTGTCTTGAACGCACCTTGAACCCATTCTGTTCTGCAAACTTCATTATCGTTGCTCTCCTTTCTCTTGTTGTATTCGTGGCATCGAACACCTTTGGACACAAATATAAATAGCACTGATTAATAACTTATAAAGCCAGAAGAGGGCAGTGGGCATAAAAGAGACTCACTGCGACTTGTCCTCCCTCCACGCTCAGGTACTGTCGGACATCGTTCAGAGCTGATGTGGCGCATTGTCTGAAGAGAAGAGGTTAGATTAGATTGCAGTTTTATCATTAACTTAAATTAACAATAATGCTAGTTATGTGTGTTAATGTTGTATATGGGTAATCTAAAGACTACAGGAGAAATACCCAATACTTACATTATTTCTTCTTCAATAATGATTTTAAGAGATCAGAGGCTGCTTTGCCATTTTTGCTTAATTTCTATAGTCAGTTGTATTCTCTGTCTTAGCCGCGGTCTAAACAATTTTTAGTCAAATTTTTTGTTGTTAAGTTAAACATTTTCTGAGCTTGTACATTTTCTGAGCCTACGCCACTCATCCATCTACCGTAATTCAGGAAAAATTAGCACTGTTGCCATGGATGGCAATTAACAATTCAAAACAAAATCTATTGAACGGTGAAAAGTACTCAAAATTATGCCTACAAACATGAAGTTGAAACCCATGTCATTTAATCGGACCAACATCAATAGAATAATCTATCGTCAGCAGTAATTTCTGCTTTTATGATTCAATGAAAATAGAAAGTTAAAATAAAAAGAGTAAGAGTCAGGTTTGTGGAGATGCAAGCCCGCTCAGAACAAGAACACATTATTCTCTGTTTTCAGTACAATAAAAACATCCACAATGGAAAAAAAAAAACCAAACATGCTGGCATTTTAGTCTATTTTAGGCCAAAAAGTTACATATTGTCGCTTTTATAAAATACCTTTGCATCTGGTTTCAATATAAGAAGAAGCGAATTGATGGGACCACAACAGCGGATAGAAATTTGATCGCAACTGCAATTCAGCATCAGCAAATATCAGGTCTTACGTAAGTACATTAACGCGCTGTCCCGTCCCAATGTATAATTAGATTTACACACTATTTATTTCAATACTTTAGTGCCGTTGATGTCATGTACAGCTGGTGTGTACTTACTGTCTGATTTTAAGGCCTTCTTCATTGTCTGGACGGAAGAATTCAAATGATTTGTAGATCTTAACACATTCTCTTCTGTACTGACCCACATTAAAAACTGAAACACATAAAGCATAACGTTATTTTTTCTGCACTTGTTTTGAGTTTTAATCTGTTGGTATTTGTTGGTATGTTTTTCCTTACCTTTCGTTGGCACTCCGATCCAATTTAAATATCTCGTCAGCTTCTTGGAGATGTAGGTTTTACCCCGAGCTGGGAGTCCAACTGTTACGATGAGCGTGGGGCAGTTTGTCATACACACTGTAAAGAAGAAAACAAGAAAATACTAAGTCAATTTACATAAACAATGAATTGTCAAAGCATGATTATAGGACAATTATGACAAGTGAAGAATTTAGGGAGTTCAAGCTTATTTAAAATGGTAAAAAGCCGTGTTAAAGCCACCATCCCTAATAAGACAGGCTGACCTGGCCCCGTTGTATTCTCACACTAGATGTTATCTAAGTTACTTCTGTCTGATAGTTGCCAGATTTGTCCTGACAGAAGAAATCTACAGAGCAGAGGTGAGTCTGAACAAAGGCCAAGTGAGAGGAGGGGGAATGGGTTTCACATCTGCCACTTACTGGTCACAAAACAATTGAATAAACTTAAGGGTGGTCGCTTTAAGGTTGTTTTTTTTTCCTTGTATTGATTGAACAGTTTAGCCTTGATTTTTTCGTATTAAAATAAATAAAAATAGCTTTCAGTATTGCTTTCCAAGACATAGACAATCCATATTTTTAATCAGTGTAATTTAGCATAAAATAATAAAATGTCATTCTCCAGATTCTGAACTCCATAAAAACATGTGATTAGGAGCAGAGGATTGACTGTGGGCCTCGAGATTAACATAACCAAGCTGATCATTGACGATTAGAAATAACGAAAGAAACCAAATCTCTATTAAAACTTCTAAAAACACTTTCTAAAAATATCCTACTCCTTCTGTTCATGTTGGAGGAGTGGACTGAGGCAAGACACTTCATTCAAAACTTTTTAGGGTTTACAAACAGCAAGACAATAATGGAATGGAGAAGAAAATTAACACAGGTGCTTAAGAAGGCAAACTTTATTATGACTACAGGAACTACCAACCACCTGTGACCATGTTTCTTTCACCTGATTTAAACAAAGACTTATCAAGGTTTCCCAGTTAAAATGAAGCCAAAACATGAACTTTGGAAACTTTGGAGCTGGGATTGTTACATATCAATTCACTATAATGTGCTTTTTATGCCAGATGCCCTCCCTGGTCTGACTCCCACCATTTATCTACACACTGGAGTTTAGTCATATTGTGTTGTTATTATGTTATTAAGAGCACTTAGTTGACAAGCCCTAATACATTTTTATGTGATCTTTTTAATGGATTAAATGTCAAATTTAACCATGTATTTGGTTTCTAGATCTTAGAAATGTTAATGTCATTACACAAACAGGTTAGCCTACTACTTCTACTACTACAGTAAAACGCTAAACTACTGTAAAAAACATGTTGTGCCCCCCTTAGGCTACTTGGAGCCCCCTTCTCCCTTATCAGCCATAAGCACACACACTACTGTCAACAAGTAAATCATCATAAAGAAAACTGCAAGTCGTTCCAGGCTAAGTTGTTGGACAAAGGCTTATCCCCCGCTCTAAACACCCTCCAACCCCCCACCTCAGTCCTATAGCGCCTGGTCACCATAGTTTTAATACACAAAAACCATCACACCTATGCCACTGAAAGGATGCCTACTGCGAGCGACCTTACTCAGCAAACATAACCAAGGAGACATATACCGGGTCTATGCTTCTGCTATAGTCCAGCTAGCTATACCCACGTCCTGAAAGCTTCATGGCTCAACTGCTGACTCGAGTTATCCGGGCAATTGATCCATTTTCAGTCATGCGCACGTCACAAGACCTGTGCAATGTCATAAATGCGTTATATAAAGTATAAGACGTGCAGTGCTGTAAAGATGGTTACTTATATCAAAAGGGCACTTAAAATACACCAAAATGCATGCCACGACAGAAGAAATTGCAGGAAAAATGATGCAATACTGCCATCTCGAAATGCGCACATGGATTTAAGCTAGGTGTGCAGGTAACAAGGCGAGGATGAAGACGCAAGAGGCAAACGCGGGATTAAAAGCAATTGGTGCATATTTAGCGACACTCCAATGCGCAAAAATGTCTAGTCATCCCGTGTTTTGGAGAGGGGTTAATCTGTTTGCATCCTCTTACCCCGTCTCTGCGTAATGGGTCGTTGGGGCAATCCATTACTGCACCGCGGCATCCATATCTTCCGTAGCGGGTTTTGGGTGAGCTCCCGTGGCCCGTGCTCCGGAACGTCCTTGTCTAACATCGTCTTTTGTGCGTCAAATGCGTTAAAGAGAGGTTTTCTGTGCTGTGTCTTGTCACGATGCGAGGCGATGGGTGAGTGTTTGGAGCGGAGGGGTTCACAGGCTTGACATCACATCAGCTGAGGAGCAGCGGCAGCCTCCCTACCGTAAACACCAGTACAATGCGCAACGGGAATTAAGAAAACAACACTCAGCGATTTGGTACAAGGTGTCTCAGCAACACGGTCAGTTCATTCATGTTTTCGAGTATTCCATTTTAGGACTCCCTGCTACGTCTTGTGTTTTTGTACACAGGTACTAACCCACCAAACCAAGTCAAAGTCATTAAAAAACATGAAAATTTGCTTATCAACACGATGAGAATGTGTTGATATGCAAAGATAGATAGAGAGAGAGAGAGAGAGAGAGAGAGAAAGAAGTGTCTCCATATTGCATAGTTGATTAAATAAAGTTGTAGTGCCTTCAAACTGAAAGACTATTTTCAGTGTGATTTTTAGATTTTAACAGTGGTGGATGAAGTGTTCAATTTTGTACTTAAGTAAAAGTACAATTACAGGCGCAAAAAGTTATTCATGTAAAAATAAATTATTTTGCAGAGATTTTTAGAACAATTAAAGGATAAAATGTTGTGAATTTTGCTAATTTTAAGTGATTCAATTGATTTCTTAATTTTTCTTGCTTCTTTTTGTGTATTTGGGTTGCTTAAAGTTGGGACAGAAACTCAAATAAAATTATTTTAAACTCAAATTATTTCAAAGTACTTTTTACTTTTCTGTCCAAATCTAAAATGTAATGGAATAGAAAGTATAGATACAGGTTCTCAAATGTAGTGAAGTAAAAGTATCCTTTGTAAAAAATTTACTTAAGTAAAATACATATACCTAAAAATTTTACTTAAGTATTTTTATTTTGGTAGTTTATTTTCCATCACTGGATTTTAACCACCAGGCATTACTGGCTGTTTACTTGCATGTAAAAATCTGATCATAATCGGATTTCTGGAGTTATTAGATTACTGAAAACAGTTCCATCAGATGTGAGTAATCTGATTTCTCTCTACTTGTTCACATTTGTGCAGGATTTGACAAGTATCAAAACAAAAAACAAAAAAAGAGACTAAAATAAAAGAGAAAAAGTTATTTTTAAATTCATTGTACTTTGACTTCCAAATTCAACAGTTACTCTAAAACTGATTAACTGACACATGTCACCCGATGTTTTGGATCTTTGGATCTTTTACTTGTAAACTCACCAAACCTATTCATGAGTTTTGTGATTATTTTAGCTATCTGATTTTAACTGGTGATGTAAATGTATCGATGTTAATCACCAGACACAGGCTAAGTAGTTTTTTTCCTTTCAACTCTCTACATTCATATAAATACAGTCTATGTCCCCTGCAGTTTTAACAACAAATCACTGTCCTCCTTTGCCCCGTCTCCATCACAGCAGCAGAAAAAAAACAGCCTCCTCACCCTCTCCTCCTTGATTTATTTTTAATTTTTATTTCCATTTCCATTAAAACATAAATCGTGCTTTGTGGTATATTCTGAATTTCGAGCCAGTAAATAAACATTTTAATGATTCCAATGTGTGAATCATGATGAAAACATAACTCAGTGGTGCACATTTTAAGCAAAAAGTCTTGCTTTATTAGCTAATAGTAATAGTGAAACAATATTGAGAGAGAGAGAGAGAGATACTTTATTGACTCCAAGGGGGAAATTCAAGTTTTGCTGCAGCAAACTGTTGCACTTGCTGCAACATTTTCACTGCGCGTCTCAGTCAAAGGTCTCAGTGCAGTTTAAGAGGAGGACTGGTCAGGGAGGGTTAGTAGACCCTGTGGAGGAGCTAAAAGTGTCCCTCCTCTGTGTCCTGCAGCATCACAGCAGTGTTCAACTTCAACCTATATCATCTAGGGATATTACAACATGCACACATGAATCACTCAAACAAATATACACAAAAGTCCACCATGCCAGGTCAACAACCTGACATAAACACAGTCAAATGTCTCCCGTTGAGATGACAAACAGGGAAGATTCTAACTCTCTGACAATGAGAGCAGCCCCTGTCACAAACACAGGAACAGCAACCCCCTGTTGAGTACGGCCCACCCCAGCCCCTCTCTCACCAAATTCTAATTTGAAGACCCCAGCCAATATGATAAGAGCTAGACAGACGCTACATAGGCTGATGACCAACTGGAATGACGACAATGACAGTGAAGACATAATGCCTGTTCACAGTACCAGCACAAACATGTCCAATTCTCTGATGGTGAGACGCCGAGTTAGAAATATAGAAGGACGCAAATTAGAATCCACTTGGGAAGAGTGCGTGAATCTGGACTATCTGACGGAGTAAAAGAAAATGGAACTGCAAAACCAAACTAAAGTCAGACCTCAAGTCCATGTGAATAAAGCTCCCGTCCTGTGTAAACCAAAGCCAAACGCCACAACTGCACCCAAACCTGTTGATCCCAAACCGTTTGTTCCCAAACCTGTTGTTCCTGAACCAAAGGTGAACCAAAGAGGTAGTGATGACCTAACTGGAGATCAAACCAGACAGCCCTCGCTCTGTAAATGCCGACACAGGATGTCCCATTGAGGAGGTGATGGAAAGAGCATGTCCTGTGGCACATGGAGAAACACACAAGAAAACTGGATTTCCACACTCTGAGCTGATAGCTGACATTCTAGACAGATCTGATAAACATCTGTTTGTCCTTACAGACAGTAAAACATTAACTACAACACTGAAAGACCACATCACAATAAGCTTAAGTGATGACACAAGAGAAGCAGCCTGGAAGATTAAGACGATTTACACAGACTATACGAATGGACCACTGAAGGAAACACAGACTGAACTCTTTTATCAGGTCCGTTACACCATAAAGGACTTTTTCCTCTATAGGATGGCCAAACAAGGAATGCTTGAATTGTTGACCAAGCTGACATTTCTCTCCAAGAACTAACCTCAACCCATTGCGGTTTCATCGCTGATGGGGCTGGATTGTTTACTAGCAGATACACTAGTGCCAATCGTCAGCCAGTGCTTCAGTGATCGCCTTACATCAGAGTCCGATCAGACGGTCTTTAGAGTTGACTCCTTTATAAATGCTCTTGCCATCATGACAGAGAGAGACCCACTCAAAGACTAACAACAAGGCAGCAACAGTTCAGCAAGTAAAAGATGAGATCCTTGAGGTTTTAGTTCCGATGGACGAGTGGTTGCTAGAGGAAGCACAAAAACTGTTCAGGGCGGATATCAGCCTTGCTTATGAAGAGATCTACCAACTGATGTCTGCAAATGTAAACACACCCAAGGGAACAGCCCCTGTCATGAGTACAATATTAGCTGTCTTAACGCAGCAGACTCCAGCCCCTGTCCCAAAAAGACCCCCTGTTTGTCCACAAGCCCCCGTCTCAAGAAAAATCCCTGTCTCTATGGAGAAGACCACCCCCCTGACTGTGCCATAAAGACACCAGTACAGGTTTATAGACCAACCCCCAACTCCCCACCTCAATGAAACCTCCATCCCCCCAGATTGGCCAGTTAATACGACAACCACACCAGCACTGGTTTCTAAGAAGATACCTGGCCCTTTCTCAATCCCACATGGCAAAGTGGTGATAAAAACACCGTCCATCTGCAGTGACGATGAGAGTGAAGAGAGTAACCATGAAAAAAGAAAAGAATACTCATGGAACATAGAGCTCTTCACAATAATAGCATCCACTGTTGTAGAGACAGTTGAGAGATACAACAAGTGTCAGCAATATGACCTGGATAAGACATTGCTGTGCTACCATCTGGTGACAATGCTCTGAAAGTAGCCAGGGATGTGATAAAGGAACTGGAAAAGAAGTACTCACAGAAACAGATCTGTACTTATTTTGTAGAAGGTGAACTCACACCTATTCTCATTTGGGTGGCTAAACAGCATCTGGTCTGAGGTACGAGCATGATACATAAGATGTACAAATGGGACAGTGAGGACTTCCTGAACTTGACCACTAGTCTGCTCACTAAGCTGTGTAAAGGGGAGCAGGTGGATATTCCAACCATCTCCTTCCTTATTGCTGAGCAGTTACTTAAGGAGCTCCAAGATTGGCCCATTTTTATCAGTCCATATAGAAAAGTTGGTCCAGTCTATGGTCAAAAAGATTATGAAGTACTACCCCAAAGAGTCCTTCATCTTTTGCCTCCAGGATGGAGCAATGGACAGGATCATCTTGGAGAAGCTGAAGAAGGAGGTGTGTACACCTCAGACAAGTGTCAGGACCTTTTTCAAGGCCATAGCCAGAAAGATCACAACTTAAAAACTGTCTACAGCAGGGGTGTCCAAACTTTTTTCATCAAGGGCCACATATCTAAACACAGACGAAGCAGAGGGCTGATCAAGGGCCGTAGACTGATGCTCAGTACAGGGAATAATTGAAATGTGTGTGTGTTTAACACGTTAGAATGAGCCATGAGTCCTTATTCATGCTAAGATCCTTAAAATCACACACTAAATATTAAATATTAGCTTCATCAAGGTAGAATTTCAAAAAACTTGCAGTAAAAAAAATTTTTTAATTGATGCAAGGTAATTTGGGCCAATTCACCTGAAAGCCTGAGGGCCAAGAAAAATGTATCTGAGGGCTGCATTTGGCCCCCAGGCCATAGTTTGGACATGCCTGCTCTACAGAGACAGATCTCTTCAAATTAGACTCACCATAGAGATGATTTTACAGTATGGTATTAAATGGTTCTATATTCATGTAGACCAAACCAGACCTAGTTATAGGTCAAATCTGTGGAGAGGCAACCCCACTCACAGTCAGAATGCCAGTTTTTGTAGGCATTTCTGAGCTATAAAACACCTGTAATTTACATTAAACAGCTCTACCTTACATTTTTAATACTGTGGCATATTCCAGGCAGAGCAATGGCATATCGATAGAAACAAGTAGGTGACAGACCCTAAGTTACATAGTGCACCTATAAACATCGATCACCAAATGGTATTAATGCTTTTAATAATATGTGTTATACCAAAAGATTGCATTTTCTTGGTATTGTAGGCTTTTTGGAAGTCTTAGAAGAGGTATAATGTATGTGATTAAACAGGCAGCATTTACATATATC